ATAAACAGTTGCATCGTGTAGTGAAGGAATGAATTCATAATCTAAGAGACGAGACGAGAGTCACAACTCTCTCTCTCTCTCTCCTCGTAATAACATCATCAAACGTTCGCTTTCTAACACGAGAACGATTCAAGCATACAATGTTATAAAATTAGGTACTTACATGACTTGGAGGGATATGCTTGCCACTTAGAAGATCCAAAAGAACAGTACCAAAGCTATAAATAACACTTTCAGGGGTTACCCTTCCTACAATAGATGAATCAAAGTGAAGAACAACACTTCAAACATGGAAATGAAGAACTTTATTGTTGACACACACACAAAAAGAGCTAGATTTCCAACATCAACCAAAAGATGAACATCAAAGTACCATTTTTCAAGTACTCGGGTGGCGTGTAGGCCAGATTTGTACTGTAACTCTTACCGTCCCTGCTGTTTTTCATCAATCCAAAACACGAAAGACGTGGATCGCCGCCCTATAAGAGCGTAACGAGATGAAGATAAACTTTATATCAAAAACTAGAAATAGATACCAATTAGTGAAGACGATACCTCGTCGAAAAGAACTCTATACGCATTCAAGTCGTGGTATAACGCTCGGCCTTTCGTGGTACAATATTCCAAGGCTTCAGCAATGTAGAAAGCAACTCTTAACCGCATGGCCCACTCAATGGTTTGATTCTCCCCTGTGGGAAAGAGTTAAGAAAATAGCAAGCTCATTCAATCCTACATAGTCGCATGCACAATTCAACCATAAGCAACAACTGCAACTTAAACCATGATCTCATTGACTCAGAATGTGTGAGATCCAACATCGGTTGGAGAGGAGAATGAAGCATTCTTTATTAAAGGTGTGAAATTTTCTTCATAGTAGACCGTTTTAAAAACCTTGAAGGGAAGCTCGAAAGGGAAAGCCCAAAGGGTGTGAAAATATCTATTAGCGGTGGGTTTGGGCAGTTACAAATGGTATCAAAGTTAGACACCAAGCGGTGTGCCAAGGAGGACATTGGGCCGCGACGAGGTGGATTTGTGAGATCCCACATTGATTGGAGAGAGTAACAAGTGCCAGCAAGGATGCTGGGCTCCGAAGGAGGTGGATTATGAGATTTTACATCCGTTGGAGAGAGAAACAAAGCATTGTTTATAAGGGTGTGGAAACTTCCTCCTAGCAGACGTGTTCTAAAAATCTTGAGGGAAAACCCAAAGAAGACTATATCTGCTAGCGGTGGGTTTGGGCAGTTACAAATGGTATCAAAGCCAGACACCGGGCGGTGTGCCAGCGAGGGCACTGAGCCCAAAAGGGAGGTGGATAATGGGTGGTGTGCCAATGAGGACGCTGGGCCCCAAAGAGGGGTGGATTTGTGTGAACCCACATCGATTGGAGAGGGGAGCGAGTGTCAGCAAGGACGCTGGGCCCTAAAGGGGAGTGGATTGTGAGATCCCACATCGATTGGAGAGGGGAACGAGTGCCAGCGAAGACGCTGGGCCCTAAAGGGGGGTGGACTATGAGATCTCACATCAATTGAAGAGAGCAACGAATGCCAGCGAGGATGTTGAGCCCTAAAAGGAGGTGGATTTTGAGATCCCACATCGATTAGAGAGGAGAACGAGTGCTAGTGAGGACGTTGGGCCCCAAAGGAGGTAGATTGTGAGATCCCACATCGGTTGGAAAGAGAACAAAGCATCCTTCATAAGAGTATAGAAACCTCTCACTAGCATACTCATTTCAAAAACCTTGAGGGTAAACCCAAAGAAGACAATATCTACGGGTGGTGGAAATCAAAATGTGATAGCCTTATGAATGTGATAGCCTTATGAGGTCAATGCAGATACTCGTAGAACAACGAACTTCCCTATATCTCTACAACGATACGATATACTCCACTTCAGACCTAAACCAACTAAACGTTGCTCTCGGTTTCACCTCGCGCCTACAAAACCATTACCACTTCTAGCCAACACAAGGATCATATCCAAATCCCCAACAGTTCCATTCATCTAGAGCTACCAACATGTTCCCTCCCATGTCCCCCAGAAACGAACACAACCAGGAGACAGAGTATACAAGAACTACAGGGGAGGTATCAGCTCCAACACAACTACATACTAAACATGAGCTTCAACACTTCACAGCAAACCAAATAAAGCAAGAAAAACATAACATACAGTGGAATAAATGCTTAGCAAGAGTATCATTGGGCATGTACTCAGCAACAAGCAGCCTCTCATCACCATCGCAGCAGTACCCTATCAAGTTAGCAAACCTTGGATGCCGTAGCTTCCCAACTCCCGAAGCCTCTTCCTAAAAATTCCCAAAAATTCCACATACCCATTTCACAAAATCAGCAAAAACACAAACAAAACACCAAAACACACCCAAATTCTTGACAGAAGTACCAAAAAAGTACCACAAATTGCTTGGCATCCGGCCAAGCCACCTTCGTAAACTTCTTCACAGCGATCCACTTCTGGTTCTGTAAGCGGCCCTTATACACAATGTTCGGAGCCTTCTCGCCGCTCTCAGAGACTATGAAGTTCGGGCTGAAATTGTCGGTAGCCGCCGTAAGGTCCGATAAGGAGAATTCCGAGAAAGTGGAAACCGTGTCCATGGGCGCCGTCGGTTCGGGTACAACAGCAGGTGGCGGCGGCGGCTCCACCGCGACATTCGGCGGCACAGTCTGCAAGGTTTGAAGCTTCTCCGGGTGGGTTTCTGTGAGAAAGGTGGATTCACAGCACCCCATAACAAATTTTGCTCAGAACCCTTTTGAAAACTCTGTTCGAGGAGGAGGAAAAGTGAAACAGAGAGGGAATTGGAGAATGGAAAAAAAGGGGAAAGAGAAGAATATTAGATAGCTGGGGAATCAACTTTTTAAGCTCTGAAAAGAAAAAAGAAATACAATCTGTGTAATAAATAGAAGATTAGTTCTTACGGTTCATTCAATCGAAGAAACTGTTCATAAATATCAGCTGGATTCGATTTGCTTAATTCATTGGTCAATCCCAAAGTGACAGTTTCCTTTTTAGAATTTTTAAATCCACAATCCAATGCATTATCTACCAGAATGGCTACTTGCAAATCCCCAAGAACATATAAAAATCATCATATTTTTATAAGTTTAATACTAAAATTACGCCTGCAGTGTCTGAGTAAAAGAGAAGTACATGAATTAATCGATGCCATATTTAATCGATGCCATATTTAACTGAGAGCGATTACGAGAATAGGATGGTAAGAAATGCATAAATGAAATGAAATGAAAATTACTGCTTATACTAATCAGATGCATCTTCGATACTACCTATAGGAAACACCCTCTGTAAGAGTGTAGAAACTTTTCCCTAAAGAATTGAGAGGAAGTCCGAAAGGGAAAGTACAAAGATGACAATATCTGCTAGCGATGGACCTAAATCGTTACAAATGGTATCAGAGCCAGACATGGAGCGATATGCTAGCAAGGAGGCTGTTCCTCGAAGGGGGATGGACACAAGGCGGTGTGCCAATAAGGACGCTGAGCTCCGAAGGGGGTGGATTTGGTGGTGGGGTTCCACATCGATTGGAAAAAGGAACGAGTGTTAGCGAGGACGCTGGGGCCTTAAAGAGGGTGGATTGTGATGTCCCACATTGGTTGGGGAGAACAACGAAACACTTCTTTTAAAGTGTTGAGGGGAAGGTCGAAAGGAAAAGTCCAAAGAGTACACTATCTGCTAGTAGTGGACCTGATTTGTAAGATACATCTGAGCTAGGACGAGACGAACGAGACGTGTTGGACTAATTTTAATAAAAATACTGTTGATTAGATAGGAGGAAAAGCCTCAAAGCTTAAGAAATGTTCACACTTAAATGATATGGAATAATAAATAAAAATTGGAAATTATAAAAATAATAAATAAAATAAAATAAAAAGCATCTTTAGCTTATTCAAACTTAGAGAATTAGATTCACAGCCAATTTAAATTAAGAATCAAATTTAGAAATATTTTATAAAATAATTATATCTTATTTATTTTGGATGTTTATTATATAATTTTAATTTTAAATTTATAATTGTTTTTGGTGTTATTTAATTTATGAAGATCAAATTCTTTTATTTATTTAATAGACATTTTTTATTTTATTTTGAAACACCATCATTTCATAATTGATTTTAAAATGTGATTATAATGATTGTTTTCAAATTCTACCTAATATTTATATTATTTTATAGTATAATATTTTTATTTTTAAAATATTACAAGACATTAATTTTCAAAGTAATTGATTATTTTGTTACTAATATTTTTTTTTTGTATTATATTTAAAAGTATTGAGGTAAAAGACACTTGGAACTTTTTTTTTATTCTTCGTCATCTATTAATCACTTTTATATTAAATAATTAAAAATGTTAGAGCGGGAGTAGACCTCTTTTAAGTTAAATTAATTTTAAAAATATATTATTTATTCTCAATAATACATCGTCACGCTCGGACAAAAGTAGCTTTAACCCTTGAACGGAACTGAATTTTTTGTTTTTAAAAAAATTAGACTCGACCCAAACCGAAAAAATTCAAACCCAACAAAACCCTTTTGATTTGGACTGAGTAGTCTCGGTTGTTCGAGCCATATGAACGCACTAGTCGAGACTGAAAAAAAATAATAATTCATTTTTGTTTTAGCAAAATGCTCGTGATTGCTGATTGAGATATTAAACGTTTTAAATTCTTTTTTTTTTTAATAAAAAAAAATTGAGAATCCAAAATTAGAGGAATTAAGATTATTATTTTAATATTCAAACACGAGGGGAATATGAGTGTAGTCATATAAGACAAAACCATCACATTATGAATCAAAATCAATTTTTAAATCATTATTATGATTTTAAAAAAGTCGAAAATAGTCGGACCTAACCGATTTCAAAATATTACATTTTTACCCCTGAACGAATACTTATATTTCGAGATTTTACATTGTTCTTCGTCTTCCGAAAACATTTTCATTTCATTTCATCTAAATTTTGTGTACAAGAACAAGTAATCCATAAACAATATGAACAAGGTGTAATAATTCAATCCTGGCTCTGTAATGAGCTCGGATTTCGCTCATATCCTTCATTGTTTATCGTCCGCAAGAACTTGTTCGATCCACAAATTGCAGCACAGCAGATCAGCCCGGTCTCGACCGGTAGCCGTGGCTTTCTTAATCCCCATACCGAGAAACTGAATGTTTATGTTTGGTAAAGTTTGATCAGCAGACGTCTCGAGTTGAGCTTCTATGCGTTATGAGTTGAAGAGGGAGAGTTCGCTTCAGAATGTAACCGCAACTGCCATTATATTGGTCCCGAGTAATATGGTCAGGTTCGAGTCGGTATGAACTAGGGGAAGGGATTATCGACCAACTCTTCAACCGTGTCGATTTGAATTGCAAGAACGGATCAACCTCCTTCATGATCTTGTCTTGGCACTTTCTTCGGCGCTTCGTATCAAAAGCTCCTCATACGCTCTCATCGAGTCGGATGCAAACCTCTCAAGGGCCTCGAAAATGGATTGCAGACCTGCCTGCAGGTTGCCATTGCCAGTGCCATCGCCTTGCACGTTCCCAGTTACCCGAACCAGTTTCTTGTCTAAAGCCTGTATCTCTTTCTGCAACTTTTGATCGTCCCGGTCGATCTTCTTCACTTTCTTTTCGAGATCCTTGTTCGTTATCATCGTTTGACGCAGTTCTTGCTTATCATGATCCCATATTTGAAGCACGCTCTTAGCGAACACGTGCATCGAATCAACGACCTCTTTCTCGGAGAATCGGTCAAGACCTTGTGACCACTGGTTGCAGATAACAAAGATGGGTGGTGCACCAATCCGGCTAGGTGAGAAAGGAACAATCCCATCAGCTGTTTCTTCAGGCTCATACAGGAGACATTTAAGAAGCCAATTATTCAACGATCTCACGAAATTTTTCTGGGCGCTTATCCAACCCGAGAATCTTGCCGTCCAGCTAATAAGCTCGTGATCGAGCTGCAATGTCACTCGAAGATCGAGATCGCTAGGCTTCCCACCAGACCGAATATGGCCTAAACCACGGGATTCTTTAACCGCTTGAAACTGAGCGTGATGGCATTCCAGCATACCTTTCCACATCCTTGTTAACCTGAAATCGATATACATTCCACGTTTAACGGCCAAGAAGACAATGTCGAGCGAACGAAACAGGCAGGAACAAACGAAACACATACCCTTGAATCAGTTCATTCACTTGAGGCCAGAGTTCTTCATCTCTGATCTTACTTATCGTCTCAGAAATCTTGTCAACGACCTGAATTGCAACGTTTAAGCTCGTCGACAAGGTCTTTATGGATGTTTGAGTGGCCTCCACTTTCGTGGCTTCGGCACCTCTCTCGTGTAAACGTTTGAGCTGACGACGCTTCTGCTCGTGGGTCAAACGCATCTTTTCCTCCCTCTAGAGAAATGTATAAACATAATTTCTTCAGTTACAATGGTAAGAGAACGACAGACCTTGCAAAACTATCGGTGCCCGAAGCCTAACATGAACTCCGGCCACACTAATGAACGAATTCTAGATACGACATACGAACTGTAAAACTACACGTAAATGGAAGCATGTCTTTGTAGGACGAAGATAAATTGATAAAGAAAAATGATATATGCAGGTGGAAGTGGCAATAGGACATCAGTAAGCTTCCATAAAGAACACACTAAACTACATCAATGAGATCACAGAGAAATCGACATGAGTTGAATGTTTCACACCCCTAAACAATAAAAGACGGATTCGAGCAGAAAATTCAAACCGAAAACGTTCAGAGTACAGAAATTAACTCCTGCATTCAAACATTGAATAAAGATACTGTAACAGTCCAAGCCCACCGTTAGCAAATATTGTCCACTTTGGACTTTCCCTTTCATGCTTCCCCTCAAGATTTTTAAAACGCGTATGCTAGGGAGAGGTTTCCACACCCTTATAAAGAAAGTTTCGTTCTCCTCCCCGATCGATGTGGGATCTCACAATCCACCCCCCTTCAGGGCCCAGCGTCCTCACTAGCACTCGTTCACTTCTCCAATCGATGTGGGACCCCCCAATCCACCCTCTTCAAGGTTCAACGTCGTTGTTGGCACAAACGCGTCTGTTAGGGAGAGGTTTCTACACCCTTATAAGGAATGTGGGATCTCACAATCCACCCCCTTCAAGGCCCAGTGTCCTCGTTGGCACTCATTCACTATTCCAACCGATGTGAGCACTCCAATCCACCCCTTCAGGGCCAGTGTTCTTGCTGACACAAACGCGTCTACTAGGGAGAGGTTTTCACACCCTTATAAGGATAGGTTTCGTTCTCGGAGGAAAAATAAACAGATTCTTATTCCTTAAACAACCCAAACTGCAAGAGTATAGCTTAAACCAACAAAGAAACACACATACCTTCACTTCATGATAAAGCTTCTTCTCCCACATATACAACTTCTTCAAGGTAGAAGACAGATTTCCAGATCTCATTCCCATATCTTCTACAAAAACGATTTCAGCAACGCCGGGCTTAGCAGAGGACTTGGCTCTCCTCCGTGACGCAGGCAGTCGAGCCGAGAACGCTGATAATGATAGAGCCCATCAACATCTTAGACAACACAGCCACACCATAAACAACAATAACTTTCAGCTCAAAACAAAGACAAGAACATGTCTGAACTTACCATGCTTACGCTGATGAGGAAGCTCTCCCATCTCCAACATTTTGGCAATTTCATCTCCAAACTCCGAGGCTTTCTTGAACAAAGCTTCAATTTCTCTCACAGCCTCATAAACATCCCTTGAACCAGCTCCGCCGTTGAATGCTGCAGCAACAGCCGCCGGAGCTCCATTCCCGTCGTCCATAACATTCTTATCAACAAGCCTCACGGCATCACCAACTGCAGCGCTTGGCTTTGTCTGATAAGCCAAGGCGGCTAAGTTCTTGTCCACTTCCTTCATTTGGACATTCACCGTCCCATTCGTTTGCTTTCCACCGCCGTCCACGGCCGAATTCTGGCCACCGTGGACCTTCTTCACAACCTCCGGTTGGTAATACCGTACATCTTCCAATTCGGGAATTCCCTCCTCCGCCCTCACTTCCCTCGGATCCCTTCCCGGCGTGTAGGAGCCGTAATAGTTCGCCACCGCTGGAGTCTCAAAGAAGTTAAAAATATCCCAAGCGGAGGTTCTAGGAGGAGAAGGCGGCGGCGGAGGCGGCTTCGATGATGAAGCCGGAGGTAGCATATTCGACATACCCCCATAAGCAGTAGGCGGCGAACCGCCATACCCGCCATACCCACCATACCCACCGCCATAACCACCGCCGTACCCACCGCCATTATTGGGATACCCATTATTCGGATAAGGGTTCGAATAAGAATAAGGATAATAGCCAGAGGAAGAAGAAGATTCACCCATATGATAAACCCTCTCCGAACTAACAGCCTGCTGATGCACCACCGACGGCATCGCTTTGTTCTGCATATAATTCATCTGCACATAACCACCACCACCACCGCCACCGCCACCGCCGGAAACAAACCCACCACGATTCCCATCACGAAAATCAAAACGATCGTCATGGGTCTGATGCAAAGGCGAAGAGTGATCGGAAGAGTGAAGCGAACTGGAATCATCGTCAGAATCAGAGGGCAAATGGAGGTGAGAATCCGAATTAGAATGAGATAAACGATGAAGAGGCGAATTAGAACCCTCAAGATCAGGGTCGCCCTTCCTCTGAGGAGGAAGCTTTAGCTTAGGCGAAGAAAAGGGCTCAGAATAAACAAAACCCGGTTCAATAAAACTGTGTAACGATTTCCCAACCCCTTGAAGAGAGAGAATATACGCGGCGTGAGCCTCAGCGAACGCTTGGCGAAACCGAATCGCTTCGTCGAGAAAATTGCAACGTTCGCGACAGAGCGACACGACAAGGAGATCGTCGAGCTTCGAAGTGGCGCAACCCATCAAAGAAAAACGCTCGAAAACACAAACAGCGAGAGAAACACAGAAAATTCCACAACCCCAAATGGGATATCGTGGTTTTGTTAGCGAAAAAACATGATGGGGTAAGAAATCTGGGGTTCTTAGAGATCTGGAATGAAGAACAGGAAGAACAAGAAGAAGAAGAAGTGGGTGTGCGTGGAGATCCTTATCTGGAAGAGGAAATCGAGGTGAAAATCATGAGGGGAAAGACGAAAGGCGACAAAGGGGGATTTGGGTACAGATTAAAGAGTGGGATTAAGAATGGGATTTGGGTTTGATTTTGGAGAAGAAGGAGATTGTTGGAATTGGACTGAAAATCCCCAAAGTTTCTACGAAATTAAAAATTTGGGAATTGGAATTGGGGTATTTGGTTTGACTGGAAGTTGACCGCTCAGCCGCCACTGGTTCTCTGCAACGGACTTTTTCTTAGTATCCGGTCGTTATACGAATATTATAAAAATAATAATAATAATAAAATATATCTCTCAATATTAATTTCGTTATTTTTTTTCTCCTTCCTGTTTTCCTTGCGTTTCGTTTTCAAATTATTTTCTTTTTCTTTTTTTTCTTTTTTTCACAAAATAATGAAGTTAATATTTTAATAATACACATAAAACGTTAGTTTTTGATGAAATTTCTTAATAAATATCTTTAAATTTTTAAAAGTATTTCAAAAATATCCATTAATAATTTTAATTTTTTAAAATAAGTACCACATTTCAAAACAAAGAAAAAAACATTAGTATCTTTTATGTGATGTCCCACATTGGTTGGGAGGAGAACAAAACACTCTTTACAAGGGTGTAAAAACGTTCCCATAGCATACGTATTTTAAAGCCTTGAGAGAAAGCCCGAAAGGGAAAGCCCAAATAAGAACATATCTGCTAGCCGTGGGTCTAGGTCGTTATATTTTAATTTTTTTTAAATGTCTACGCGTCTATTTTAACAATTTAGCTTTATTTTAATTAAATATATATATATATATATATATATATATATATAATTTGTTGATGCTTATCTTTATTTTCCTACCAAATATTCTAGACAATTCTTTGCCCATTTTGGTATGTTTGGTAGATCCAACTATAAAAGGTAAGCTTTCATCACCATTTTTCAATATTTTATTTATGTAATTACGTTCATTAATGTTGTTAATATTATAATTTATTATAATTAAACTTACTTTTTTAACTTTATAATAATATATTATTCATTCAAAATTTTCATTGGCTGCATAACTTAAACGTCGAACACGAAACCCTAAATTCAACAACCAACCACGAATCTATTATTGTATTGCGTCGATTAGCTGTGAATAACTTTTTTCACGAATCACATAGATTCCAACGTCTAGACGCATGAGGAAAAAAAAAATATGACTTAACCCTAATCGTTGAACAAGTCTCGATCCTTCAAAATAGCTCGAATTTCAATGTGAGATCCCACATCAGTTGGAGAGGGAAACGAACCATTTCTTATAAGGGTGTGGAAACTTCTCTCTAACATACGCGTTTTAAAATCGTGAGGCTGACGACGATACGTAACAAGCTAAAGTAGACAATATCTGTTAGTAGTGGATTTGAGCTATTACAAATGGTATCAGAGAGCCCGACACTAGGTAGTGTGCCAGCGAAGATGTTGAGCCCTCCAAGGAGGTGGATTAAGAGATCCCACATCAGTTGAGGAGTGTGGAAACTTCTCCCTAGCATACGCATTTTAAAACCGTAAGACCAACGATAATACAAAACGGACTAAAACGAACAATATCTGCTAGCAGCATTCACACACACGACTACTTCCAAAACTCTTCGATTATCGTAATTAATCTTGGTTGGTAAGAAAATTTATAGTAAATTAAAAAAATTACATAAAAACCTATAATATAACCTTATATAATTAAATATTACTTTTTTATAAATATTTTAAAGAAATGTGCACGCATTATCAATGCTAATTCATTGCATTGACGTTTTATTTAATTCACGCAATATTTATTAAACCGTTTTAAAATAGATTATATTTCTAATATTAGAATTAACTCATAACTATGAAAATTAAAAACATTACTTAAAATAATAAAAAATATTAATTATATATGTAATTGTCACACCCCATTATAATTTCTACCCCTAAGACTTAATTATTTATTTAATTTTTCATGACTTTATTATTTATTTAATTTGCATGACTTTATGCATGGTGGTTTATCAACTAAATAAAGTTTTTTTTTTTTTTTTGGTATTTCCCTTTTGCTTTATATATTTATTTATTTATTTTCTCTAAAGCTAAAACCCACTTGAAGCATTTCTTAAACCCTAAGATTTTTGTTCCTAAATTAATTATTTTTGTATTTAATTTGTTCGTAAGGAAATTATAAGATAAAATGTCGTTTTCTCTCCAACTATTGACTTTTTCAAACACGAACAGAGATTTTTATTTTTTTTGTAATTTATTTTTAACTTTAAATGTCGTAATATTAATTCGATTTGTTGACTATTTTCTCGTATGTCGTTTTTTAAAACCTATTTTCTCGTATGTTGACTAATTTGTTCGTAAGGAAATTATAAGATAAAATGTCGTTTTCTCTCCAACTATTGACTTTTTCAAACACGAACAGAGATTTTTATTTTTTTTGTAATTTATTTTTAACTTTAAATGTCGTAATATTAATTCGATTTGTTGACTATTTTCTCGTATGTCGTTTTTTAAAACCTATTTTCTCGTATGTTGACTAATTTGTTCGTAAGGAAATTATAAGATAAAATGTCGTTTTCTCTCCAACTATTGACTTTTTCAAACACGAACAGAGATTTTTATTTTTTTTGTAATTTATTTTTAACTTTAAATGTCGTAATATTAATTCGATTTGTTGACTATTTTCTCGTATGTCGTTTTTTAAAACCTATTTTCTCGTATGTTGACTAATTTGTTCGTAAGGAAATTATAAGATAAAATGTCGTTTTCTCTCCAACTATTGACTTTTTCAAACACGAACAGAGATTTTTATTTTTTTTGTAATTTATTTTTAACTTTAAATGTCGTAATATTAATTCGATTTGTTGACTATTTTCTCGTATGTCGTTTTTTAAAACCTATTTTCTCGTATGTTGACTAATTTGTTCGTAAGGAAATTATAAGATAAAATGTCGTTTTCTCTCCAACTATTGACTTTTTCAAACACGAACAGAGATTTTTATTTTTTTTGTAATTTATTTTTAACTTTAAATGTCGTAATATTAATTCGATTTGTTGACTATTTTCTCGTATGTCGTTTTTTAAAACCTATTTTCTCGTATGTTGACTAATTTGTTCGTAAGGAAATTATAAGATAAAATGTCGTTTTCTCTCCAACTATTGACTTTTTCAAACACGAACAGAGATTTTTATTTTTTTTGTAATTTATTTTTAACTTTAAATGTCGTAATATTAATTCGATTTGTTGACTATTTTCTCGTATGTCGTTTTTTAAAACCTAATACCTGTAGTTAATTTAATTAGAAATTTAGTTCATGCAACATGATGCGATTGGCTTTATTTTTAAATTTTAAGAAAGTAATTAATGTTTTAATTAAATAATTATGATATAAATATTTATATAAAAGAAAGAGAACAAGTTTGGTAAGTAAAGAATATTCTATGCATCACGACAACATTTTAAAATGTCACGTATTTTAATGCAAATACTTTATTTGGATATTTTATAATATAAAGTTTTATATATATATATAGAGTTCAGGCTGATTATGTTGACTTTATAATTCAGTTTATTTATGGATAATTATTTATGGTAATAAATATATGTTTTTTTCTTAATTATTGTTCAATTTGACAATTCTAATTTTGGACATTGAACGTAATGGCTCAAACCCACCGCTAGCAGATATTGTCTACTTCAAGGCAAGGTTTTAAAACGCGTCTGTTAGGAGAATATTTCTATACCCTTATGAAGGATGTTTCGTTCTCCTTCCCACCCATGTGGGACTCTCATACCAAAGAGGACAATATCTACTAGCGGTGGGCTTAGGCCGTTACATGAAATTTTTTAGATTTTTGACATGAGATATTATAAATGGTATCAGAGTAGAACATATCCTAGTAGTATGTGGCTCGAGGACGAACCAAGACAGAAACTTGTGGACCTATGATACTCGAGTAAGGAAAATGGTACATGAATGAACCGACGCTACATCTGAAAGAAAATAGTCTTACAAAAATTGACAGTGTTAACGTATACCAACAAAGAACATCTTCATTTTCAGTGGTTCAATCATAAAAACCCCAAATCAAATGTGTTCTATCCATTATAAATTTTTTTAATTTTAATAATCTCTCAATCAAATATCTTTTAAAAAACTTTATAAAATTGATTTTAAACACTTTTTATTTACAAAGTTTTTAAAAATAAATAAATTTATTTATTTATTGACGAGGAAAAATCTCTGTGGATCACAAAAATTAAAGAGTTAGTTACGTAGAAGGAACATATTGTCAGTGGAAAATAAATAAATTTTAAATAAAAAAGAAAAAGTAGAAATATTATGAGTGGATCACATTCACAATAATAAAAAGCAATAAATCCAACAAAAATAAATTATAAAATTAAAAAGTTGCACTAAATGAAACCGAGTATGTTTTATTAAATAATAATAAATAAATAAGTGATGTTTTTATTTTTTATTTTTTATAAAAAATTCCTCTTAATGGGTTTTTATTAATTTTAAAGCAATGTTTATAACAAATTTAAAATCTTGGTAATTTAGCAATATATTAAATATAACAACATTTTTCGAAAAGTTTTTATGAAAATTTATTTTTCAAATATATATTATTTTTAATACGACAAATAATATATGTTGATGAATATTTTCTGTTATTCAAACGTTCATCAAGTACTAGTTTATTTTCGACGTTTTATATGTAAGCCCCTAAAAGTATTATTATTTATAGCGATACATAGCAAAATCTATATAGGCTTGTTTTGACATATATTATCGATCAACATGTCGAAGATTTGAATATTCAATTAATGTGTCGTTGAATTTGGGAAAAAAAGTCACAGTATGACACGAACACCAAAACCCGACCTCAAGTTTATAACAAAGCTTTCATTATACATTTGAAACCTAAAAAAACAATAGTCAATTCTTCCATCAAAGTATCCCAAAAAGTCAACATAATTTTCAACCAATTGGATGATAAAGGTATATTTTTTCCCAAGTTTTTACGATCGTAGCCCCACGAACGAGATTTCAAAAGAATTAAAAAATTGGTGTTTTTTTCTAAATGGTGTAGGAATGGTAGCTACCCGTTAGCATTTGACTTTTTCTTTTTCTTTTTAGAATAAGAGATAAGAGATCTAGTCTCTTAACGGTATATATACATAGAGATTTTTTTAAAAAAATAAAATTTATATAACTA